GAGGAGGAGGAGGAGGAGGAGGAGGAGGAAAAGGAGGAAGAGGAGGAAGAGGGGGAAGAGGAGAAAGAGGAAGAAGAGGAAGAAGATGAAGAAGAGGAAGAAGAAGGAGAAGAAGGAGAAGAAGGAGAAGAAGGAGAAGAAGGAGAAGAAGGTGAAGAAGGAGAAGAAAATAGAAGGAAGGAAGGAGAGAGCGATTCTTGTACCACCTACTACAAGTCTCTCACCTTGAGGGGAGCTCCGAACTGTTGTCTGATGAGGACACCCCCAGAGGCTGTCACAGAACCTGGGATGTGGATGGGGTCTGGCGCGAGTTTTACGTTGCGTGGTACAAGTATCTCCTTGTTGGGGTTGCCACAGTTGCTGAACGAGAACCTGTTTGAGGGGCTAGGACGATTCTGAGAAAAAAACAACAAAAACAAAAAAAAGAAAGTTTCACCCTTTCGTAATTTTTGTATCATATTCATATAAAAGGGTAAACAATTCTAAAGTGTCATTCTTCGGTGCGGTATGAAAGAAAAAATAATGTTTAGATGCCGTTCTTTGTTATACAACGCAAGACTTTAAGGGAAGAACCCTCACATGTGTAAGACAGCTTCTGTTTTAATGTTATTATTTTAGAGGGTAAGATAGGGTAGGGTAGGGTTGGGCAGGGCAGAAGAGGGTAGAGTAGGGTAGGGTAGGATAGGGTAGGATAGGGTAGGATAGAGTAGGGTAGGTTGATGAAACAGGATACGTTTTATTATTTGGTTTTGTATGTGGAGAATTTGACGTGATAAGCCAAGCCATACCACAGCGCCTTGGTTCAAATAACAATCAATATAGAGGCAGCATTCATACATGCAGTTTGCCTCAAGGTTGTAGAAGGCGTGCAAGTGATTTGTACCTGAACGTCTTACGAAGTTACTGCCACACTTTGTCAAAGGGGTTAAAGTGGAAATGAATATACATTTTTCCGACAGATAGTCAGATTTCTACCTTGGTGTTCTTCCCTGAAATTATCCACCATTTTTTTCTCTTAATCAGCACATTTCTGATAATCTTTTTAAATGTAAGTTCAAGGCATGAGACCAGTCGCCTGAAGGGAAAGTAAAACTAAACCTACAATTCTCTCTCCAGATAATATTGCAGAGGCAGGCTCAAAAGACACTATTTCGTTCATAAGACATGTGAAGAAGGAAAGAGCCTTTTTGAACACAAAAAGTGAGAAAATGTACAGTAACCGAAATAGTGTAATATAATCTAACTTAATGTCTGTTAAGTGAGATGGATGAACGCATATTGTGCTTCAAAGCTTTTTTATTCCCTCTCCCACTTCCCTTTTCCCAACCATAACACAATAGGATCCATTGTTAAACTAGAGGTACTTAGCAGAGACGGACGCGGGAATGAACACTATTTTACTCAAGCTGTAAGTACCGAGCCATGTATGATACATGTCAAGACATACTTCGTTTACTCAGCTTAAACCATCGAGCCGTGAGGTGCAAGGACGCCATAGTATGCCAGTATAAACCGTCATACGACAAACGGCACGGCTTGGCGATGTAACAGTCTGGTCTATCCTGTCTAACTGGAGCATAATATACGTTTACCATTAAATAACTGAAAATGCATTCTTAGTTCTTTTTTAATTTTTCCCGATTCGGCAACAATTTTTTTTCAAAGGAAAAGGAATATATAATAA